GCTGCTAAAGAAAGATTCACGGGACAATAGTGTAGGCCTCGATAAGGCGACGCATTATCATTGAGAATGCTATTTTAGTCCCGCGACGGAAGTAAGGCCTCTTTAAGTTGCCCTGATCCATTTTTCAAAGTCCGGAGTTTTCTGAAATGGTCGCGCGAGCCGCCGCCGATCCTCGCATTATGCCGCGCGCGTTTCCAAGCCTTCGCGTTTCTACGTGGCGACACGGCAGCAGTGGGTGACGGTTTCGCAAGGAATCGGTGAGTAAGCGGCATCCGACATATAGCTCCCTGGCCATGACTCCATGCACGGCGTGCCGATGACGTCAGCCCGCGTCGGGGCAACGTCAAAGTCGTTTCTCTCGTTCTATATCACACGCATCTGGCACAATCGTAATCCGCCTGTACCAATGGGTCGCTTCTCTCCAAATATTGACAATTTGCCGCAACCTCCTGTTAATCTACTGTTACGCGTGTGGAGCTACTTGCGCGCGTAACACTAGAGAGGGAATTGATCACCGAGGAGTCGTCCGTCATAGAATGAAAATAAGCGTGACACGCGCCACCAAGGCAAAATCTCAGGCGCTCTTCACCGCGCACCGCGCACCGCGCACTCCTTCTATTTCGTTCTTATCTATTCTTCCTTTACGATTATCGCTCCCGCGCAGCCCTTCGCTGCACATGTTTCATCGTAAAAGGAAGATTACGATTAAGCAGAGCTGGTTCCTGTCTCTGAATATTTACCTGATCGATTTTCCTATTGACGATGTCTTCCTCTTCCCATATAGGATCGTCCCATCCTCCGGAGGAGCCCGACGATCCTCGACGACCCGGGTCCCAGGAGTTCCTCTTGAGATTCTCAAGCGAGTCAGTCGAGCACTTTCGTCTGTCGTAGGACCCCCTTCGGCGGAGGCTGCCAATATTCCCCGAAGGCACGGGTAAACTGTCCTTCCTGAGGTTCCCGACTGAGCCCATCGCCGAATCGCGTCTCGTACTTGCACCTTGATGCGCACTCAGAAGGGACGAACCTTTGAGGTTTCCATTAGAATTCGAAAGAGAGTTCTTCAGATTTCCATGCGATGACGAATTCCAGAGGGTTCGCAGGGTTCCGCCGCCGTGCGGCGGACTCCCGAAGACGCTCACGTTGCTGCTCGAGTTCGCGAGTGAATTTCGTCGCGTTCCTGGCTTTTGAAGGTTCAACATCGATTTGGCCACGTAGTCGCGTCTCAGAGGTGAATTGTAATTGGACACCGTGTCCTTCTTGAGACATCCGACTGATCGACCAATGCTGTCTTTTCTGAGAGGAGCTCCGACCAAGCCGCTCGAGTAAGAATCTCTCGAATCCCTTTTCGAGTGGTTTATGGCACCAGTCGAGGCACCCAGAGGATTTCGCCTCAGGGTATTTGGGAAAGTGGACGGGTGTATCTCCCTCTTCGGCGGAGACATCGGGATCCCCAGGGAACTTCTTCTGGTCAGAGGTGCAGGGACGAAGCCCAAGCTGTCCCGCCGTCCTATCGAATCCCTTCGTCCGTGGAGGATGCTTCCGAGCGAGCCACGTCGGTTGGCGCAGTTCTCCTTGGCATGTTTCCCGTGAACGTCGCAACACTTGTCGATTTTCATCTCAACCGTCACGAGTTCGGGCGAGTTCTGTTGCTGCTCCAGTTTGACCTCTCTGAAAAGAGCCTCGAGCCTCTTGATGGCAGCTTTGGGATTTGCCGACGAGGACATTGCGAACGATCGAGAATGACTTTCCTCTTTCACTTTCGAGATATTCGGAGGCCTGCACTGATTTCTTCCTTTCTTCCTCTCTTTTCTTTTCACTAGTCCAGTTCCGCCGATCAAAGCCACCAATTGATGTCAATTGGTGCCTCGCACTTGCAAAGCACGGGAAGAACCTCTTGTGTACAATAATAAAATGAGAAGCCCAACCAGTTGCTATTTCACGATCGTAGAGCCTACGTCACAATTTCTAGAGTTGATTTGCTAATGCAAGACATTCACTAAAGAAATAACTAAAAAATAAACAAGGTCCAATACGCCGGCAGCGAGTCCCGTAGTCGTGGCCAGTTCGTTAAGGAAAAGATGTATAGACCGAGCAGAAGTAAAAGTAGAAGAAGAAGAAGAAGAAGAAGAAGAAGAAGAAGATAAGAACGAACGAACGAATGTCAAAATGAATCAAGTAAGGAAATCTGAATCGCGATGTTAGAACACATATCGATAGGCGCGTGTGTGCCGTAAGACTCGCGCGACTGCCGAGGTACTGGCCCGTGTACTGAATCTCAGAGTCCCAGAGTGAGAGACTCGTAGCGCCTCAAAGGAGCTTGAGATCCCCTCCAACTGGTATTCGAACGCAAACTCTCCATATTAGGTCAAACTTATGGGTTTATTGCGCGAAAGCATGTAAAAGAGCTCGCTGACTGGGTGGCTATACCCATCGAGAAGTTCCTTGCGGAGTCTTGCTAGATCAATTGAGAAGCCTGGAGAGTTCGAAAGATACTTATCAAAGGAAAACAGAAGGCTTTCGTTCGTGAGAAATAACCAGTGACGCCTGCTTTGAACCTCTGACAACAAAGCCTTCGCCCGAGCAAGTATCTCGATGTGGATAATTTCATCGGTGACGGTCGCTTATCCACAGTTACGGTAAAAAAACATCAAGGTCTCGTAGCATCGATAACGTCAAGTCGTAAGTTGTTGATTCGCATGTATATGTATACATAGAGGATGAGCGTTATCAGGTTATCACTTATCAGGCAAGAAATTACGCAGCGGGGTTATCATCATGTAACTATTATGTATTATTAATTGAGATGAAGAGTAGATCACCCGTGGGAAAGAAAGTTTGCCCGTCGTCGTCGAACGAGTCTCTGTCGGGAAGCGTCCGCGAGTCTCGCTTCTCGCTGTTTTGCCGACACAGAGAGCTGAGCGAGTTGAGAGAACGGAAAGATGCCCAAAGGAATGCCGCGATCGGCAAGAAGCGATTCAATGGAGAATCAACGGAATGAGAATGGAGCCGAACGGAAGAGCCGAGTGGGACGTTACGAAGCGCGTACGTGACCAGAGACTTTGTATTTTGCTGGGCGCCCGGAACTCAATGACCGTTACGACATCCGATGAAACCGTTAAGATCTCTTCTGGTACCCTGGGGTCCGTCGAAGATGCTCCCACGAAGATGCTCAAGGTGCAGGCAGGCGTGCGCCTCTACAGCCGTTTCTTCGCTAATCCCAGCGCCAGCTATTAGGCATAATATGTCAAAACGCCGTCCGAGAATAATAGTGCGTACTGGCACTCTCATTGAATTCCATCAAGTGCCACTGAAATGACTTTACTTTGAAAATATCAATAAGATGGAGCCACTGTATTCCTTCTAACTGATCGGCGCGCAATTTCTATCCAGAGACTGGAGGAGTCTCAAGTGAGTTTGAGAATGACTCAAAGCATAACAGACAGCACAGTGTGCGAGAAGGCTGCTCGCATTGCCCGCGCTATTGGGTGTGGTGGCGGAGGTACGATCGGGCAGGACAAGGCAGGACAAGGCAGGACAGGAAGTACCAAAGGCGTCGTGCGCAATGGCGTATCGGCGTATCGGCGTATCAAGTGCGCATTGGTGCCTTAGCTACTTAGCTACTTAGCTACTTAGCTGCTTAGCTGCTTAGCTCCTATCGACCGACCCAGCGTCTCTTTGACACCTACGAGAGGTGTTTATTAATTCCAGTTCACCTTGGCAGGTGGACTTGTATAACACTCCTGCTCGTCTAGCCCTTTCGGAAATCTGATATACTTGGAAATCCATAGGTCTACAATAACGGGATTCGAATGTCGTAGAGAATGGTTCTTTGCACAATAAGATCGCAGCGCTTTTACATGAATTCTTTCAATTACTGGAAAAGATCCTTTTGACGACTCCCCAACCGGTAAATACCATATCAAACAAGAGAGCTCGCCCACGTAACTGCCATTTTGGGATAACTCGATGATGTGTTCTCTAATTTTGCAGCAGACCAACAACAATTAACCGAGTTGCAACCGATTTGCATAGGCATAACGTCAGCTCAAACCATGTTTATTCTCGTAACGCAAAAATGGATGTTAGAAGTTGGATGGATCGCGTGCGTGGGTATGCGAGTCCTTGGTCCACGAAAATGTTAATTTAGACTCACGCGAGCTACGCATTATCGAGCATCGCTAGTAATTGCTTCGAAACGAGTCCGATACATTACTGATTGTGACTATATCCGCCGAATCCCACTGTATTCTTCCTTCGACTTCGCGTCATTTTATCGCGCGGATACTTTTGGCACTGAAAATAGTTCTTTATGATTCAATCATCGGTGAATGGAAAGAAAGATAACATGAGCATGGAGTGGTCGCTTCCCAATTATGTGAATTACGTAGAAGTTGAAAAATGTCACTGGTGCCACTGCTGTCGTTTGTTGCCCGAAACTTCATGTGACACTCGACCGAGGACGAGTAGCCTCTGAAAGTGTTAACAATAGACTAACGCATGTCGACTCTGTCAACATAATGATTGCCTTATTTTTTTACCAGGCACTTCCCGAACTTGAACAGGAAAGCCTATTCGAATGCAAATATCGAATGATGCAACTAACCATATTGTGAATTCTTCTACTATGTAAATATCTTTTGGAGTAGTTAGCTTGGGATTAAGGTTTAATTCGACCTACAACCACATATGTATATCAGTATTAAAAAGAAAATCGAAAGCAGCATTTAACGTGGGGCGTCGGCTCATGGAATTCAGAAAACCGATTGCCCTTGATTGCCCTCAGCAATTACATCAATCAATCGAGTTAGAGCGGCAAAGCTGCGCTCCCTGATAGATTCGAAGAATCGGCAACCACCGTTCGACTGATATTTCAAGATAAACTTTTAGTTGGTTAAATTTACAGAAGTCCAAACTACTTGAGGAGGCTCCTCAAGTAAATTCAGGACGGATGCTACGTGACGATCGTTTCGAGTTTTTAAATTTGGTTCGGATTAGCTTACCTTCATGGATTTAATGACGTCGTAGTGCCCGTCTTGAAGTCTCCTGGAGTCGTCGTAGAGATTCGCAGGTGTTGAGTTTTGTCGTCTGCAAGAAAGGAAGAAAAGTGCGATGGAAATTAGAGGGTCCTAGCCCTACGACGTGACCCAGATAATTTTTCAAAGAAAATCAAATTAATGAGTTTAAGGTTAATCATTCTTACACGATGGGATCCGATCCGTTCAATGTGGTTTTCGGCGACTGAATTCCTGAATGAACTGGGCTGCTCGAATGAACAGGCGATGGTCCCTTGCTCCCCAAAGGCGGCTGTTTAATTCTGTAACGAGATATAAGCAATACGATTATAGGGTACGTTCATAGATAAAAGTCTACGAAGAAAATGGCCATTCATTTTCGATTCATTGCTCGTTCCAACTATGTTTCCGTAGAATAATTTAATTATTTTTTTTCGAACGCTTTGTCGTGCCAGATCGTTAGGATCAAGAAACTTGTGAGTCCAGTCGCTAGTCGCTGGTACTGTTCGAGGGAGAACGTCGAGAACGTCATATAGGATATTGGAACACAGTAGCGTGGCTTCCTTCGCGTTCCGTGCACCGTTGCATCCGGTTCGTTTCCCTGATAATGAGTTACCGTTATAACATGCCCATGAAGAATCAATAGAAATGACCAAGTGCTGATGAAAATATCGAGGATGTCGACGAAGGAGTCCTTACCGACTGACACAAGGCTGCGCGGAGCTGAGACTTCTGAGACTGCAGGTGCTGCTGTGACTATTTTGCTTACTGTAAATTGGACGATTATTCACGGACACGCTGACCCTCTCCGCTATTCGAAAGCGCGGAGTAGTGGGCTTGTGATACATCATTCTGGCCACGAGAACCGAATAACTGCCGCCTGCCGTCAACTCGGGTCCTCTCGGGAACTGCGCGCTGCTCTTCCTCCGTCACTGCACGCACTCTCTGGCCGCGAAGCCCGATGGACCGATGGACCGATGGTTCATCACCGGCTGTCAAGTTACTTGTCAGGTTCTTTCAGGCTCTCCCACCTTTTAATTGTACAAGTATTCTACTCCGCACATTCGAGAAGATAACAATAATCCGGATGGAAGACCCTGTCACTCGTGGCACGCGAACGACGTCAACTTGTTTAGATGCGATTTACGGCCGGTTGGAGGATCGCCGTTGACCGAAGTCAACGCGCAAGTGGAAGTCGCGGTTCGCGATGCTTCCGCCGGGAAAGCGCGTCGAGGAATATCTGCGAGAGTGACGTTGCGGCGTTGCGGCGTTGCGACGTTGCGACGTTGCGGCCGGAGGCAACGTTGACTCCCTAGTTGTTGCACGTCACACCACGCAGCTGAGTTCACCGCTGACAAAGCTACGCCAGCCTATGGCAGCTCGCTCTGCTCCAGTCTCCGTCGCGCCACAATACACTGAACATCGAATAACGCAGAGCGAGCATTGTCAGGTGAACGCGCGATCAGCTGGTGCACCAGTGCAGCGTTCTAGGCGACGCACCAGCGGCACGATCTCTTGTCTGGACGCCCCCCTCTTCCTTCGCCTTCCTCCTGCCGCCTTGCCGCAGCACCCCGACGCCGTGGGGTCCCTGCTACAGACTTTCAATTTTCCAGGAATTTCGCGATGCACGGCGCTCCGATCTGCGCGAGAGACGGAGCACAAGGCTGCCTCTCGGCAGCCTCGGCCGGCCGAGCATCTGGCAGCTGCTGTTGCATCGCGGCAATAGGAGTCGACATGTCGAGTATCCGTTATTTCTTAGGTCGAGTACACGACGTCATCGCGAGTGGACGAATGAATTCGCGACTTGAACGCCAAAGAATACGCGGTATATTATCGAGACGGCGTGACCCGTCACGCCTCCTCAAGGAATTCTCACGTCAGACGCGATGCGACACAACTAGGTATCAGGCCAATTATTCTTCGGCAATTTATTCGACTGCCGCGTCACGATGATATTTTACTTCGTCTCGGTGGGATGTCCTTCGCTAGAACGGAAATCGCCTAAATCTAATAGATTCTCAAATAGAGTGATCGATTTAATAGGATGATCGATGCAATAGCGCTTTGCCAAATATTTTTCTCATTCTATTGAGAACCGTTCAACGCAATTATCTTAATTTTTGATCTTTCGATGAAATTCTCTCGGCCACAAGATTCCGGTGCGTCGCATTCGTACTAAATGATTTATTTCCCACTAAACTCAGGAACGCGCTGTACAAGCGTTTCCAATTGTAAACCGACGCGCGGCATGTTATTTTAATTTTTGACTTTTTTTCACGTTCCGTCACAATCGTGACTAAAGGGAAGAGAAGGCGTGAGGTTTTCCACAACTTATCAAGTAACGAGCCACATGTTACCAAACTCGCTGGATCAGAATCGATGTATGGCTAATTTAATTATTCTAATGAGCCGCTGCTGCAACGGTAGCAACTTTATTGACCAATTTATCGCACAACGTGCGATACGTGCAGGCACAGTTCTACGTTCCGTCGTTTTACTACGTCGTGGAACGATGGGTATGATCGTAGGTGAACGCGCACAACGGGACTCTCTCCAGCCCGATTTGCGTATTTCAAAATTTCCCGTTGGCGGACAAACTCTGCCTTCTGTGTACTTTTATACGGGAAACTCTCGGGCTGATAAAACGAATATCATTAAGTTGGATGATTTGGCCATTAACTTTCAGCTTCCGCGGATATGGCATGAGAGCACAAAAGCACAAAGGCACAAAGGCACAAAGGCACAAAGGCACGATTGGGTGACCAGAAGTAGTGCTTCGCAGTCCAATGACGGTGAGGAAGGCACCCGTAGCAACCAGGGTTATGGTTGTCGAGTAAGGATAAAATAATCATGTAAGGGCTATAATAGAGCTACAAACTAGCGATTTTACGTCGCGTACGTAAATCATTGACGACATATTGCCGACGACTAATTACAGAAGACATCGCAGTCATGGCACCTAAGGCATTGATAAAAATGAGGGTTCTAGTGGATCTGGTATTGCTCATCCTCTCCTCCATAGAGTAATGCATCCTGCGTACGGTCACGGCCAGAGAAACGCTCGCGCGGATCGTGCCAACGAACCGTATCAAATTTTTCCTCGGGCCTGCTGCTTCCCATGCGCCTCGGCCCAGGGCCGGGCCGGAGCCTCCTCTACATCGAGTCGCTCGCAACGCGTTCCATAAGGCGCAGCACAGCAAGTCACGGTTCGAAACTTTGACGCACGCCGCTGGCATTTCTGGAGGGGGGAGGGGGGCGGCAGCACTTGGTGCTTCACGACTCGTGACTCGTACTCGGAAGTCACTGACACTCGGTTGCCGGTAGCTTCCTTCCACAAGTTAACGCGTATGTGATCATGTCATACTAGTTCTTTACTAATCGTAGGTTGTAGGTTTATGGCTGTGGGCATTGGTTTGAAATGAGATTTCCAAGAGCCAATAGATGACAAAGTGGCACGCTGCATCTGTCGAGAAGTCAAATATACTGCACCGAAAATATCTCAATGTAATAATTGTAAGAAAAAGAAAAAAACACTTGTCGAAAAACATTAACCGAGCCCGACTGTAAATAGGTGATGGCGATTTCAACGAACACTATCTTCTTTTGTAGTTCCATTATTATAAGTTTGTGAAGCATCATTGTCTCATTGAATAATGCTGCTTTAGGTTTTCAATACCTACAGCTGTGATAATGTAACGCGCTACCCAGCCGATTGAGATGAGCGAATACGCAGTAACGATAGGATGGCGCCACTTGGTAGAATTTAAGAACATAATCCCCGGCACGAGCAGTGCAGCCCATATGGTCTATCCTTAGATGGTGCAAACGCTCACGTACGTTACAGCATTGTATACATTGTCACCGTGTCGGTAATGTGGAGTTGAAACGCTGAGAGTGAGCGAGAGCGAGCGAGCAAGATAGATAGATAGATAGATAGATAGATAGAAATAGAGAACGAGGAAGAGGGGGGAGGGAAGGGAGAGAACAATTAAGAAGAAAAGCGCACAGATGCAAGGAAACAAACAAATACAAACCCCGTCTGATCAAGCTGAAGTCTATTGTCAGGCAATTGTGCAGGAAGTGGAGCCGACAATTGCCTGACGAGTTCATCCCGTTCCCTCTCCTTTTGCTGTATAGTCTCCTGTAGTCTCTGCTTCTGTTTCTGGTACTCCTTGAATAGATCGCCATTATAGCTCTGTTCCAAACGATCTCCTGGTATAGTTCCTCGAGCAGCAACCGAGCTAGGCTCTGGAATTTTAGCGACGATACCACTAGGCTTTTCCGCCAAGGAATCCCTTCTGGAACTTCGAGCAGTTGATGGGGCTGGAGATTCTCTACCTGGGACTCGACGTTCCGGTGTGGACGCCGTAGAAGGATCCGCTTTAACACCTACGAAAGAACACAAGAGAGTGAAATAAAATATGAGTCACCAAAAAGAAAAGGAGTCAAGATAGATATATTTCTATAAATAGTGCTAATATACCTTCGGGACTTCTTGAGTGTCCTCGTGTCCTAGGTGGGGCTTTTGGCTGCGCGGCATTCGTAGCTTCTTGTATCGACGGTAACTGCTGAAACTCGGCGTAACTTGAGCTGAGAAAGACATCGCCCTCATTTTCGAAAAGTCTATCGACACTCGTATTCATGATCTTGTTGTTCTTGAAGCCAGTCAAATGAAAACTGGCGAAGGAAGATCTGGACATGGGATTGATGTCGCCGGTCGAGAGCGCCATTAACGCGGCTGATGGGATGGGGGTATTCTTAAGTCCGGGACTTCTGGGACCGAGACCTGCCTCCAAAGCAGGCACCAGACTTCTCGACATCATGTCGGCAGCGGACCTGGGCCTTGTGAATGGCATCGCACTGTGAGGAAAGGTTTTTGGCTTTATCGGTGTAATGAGCATATGCTCTGTCCATGAGGTCTCGAGGGAGGGACGCTCGAGGCGTTCGACGTCGACGTTAAGCGTCCTCTGAGCGAAGGGGACGGCGAATGTGTCAGGAGGGATGCTCTGCAGCCAGGAAAGGAGGCTAAGATCGGAATCGCTAAACCCAACGGAGCCATCGAGGAGTCTCGAAAAGCTCATCTCCACCTGCTCACTCTCTTTCGAGCCAGTCGCTTTAGCCTGGCAGTAGTTGACGCAGGACTCATAGAGAATGCCTTTGATGATCAGCTGGATCAGTCGATCGTTCTTGGCGGAAGTAACAGGATTCGAGAGGTCCGAGGTTTTTCGATCACCCGGCAAGAACTTCTCCACCAGAGGATGAACTTCTCGGAAACACTGGACTCTCGCGTTGCTCGGATTCCAATCTTTGTACTGAAGGTGATCCGTTAACCGGGGCAGCGTCAACAGAAGGCAGAGGCTGCTGTATTCCTCTTTCGAGGGTGCAACCTTCTCGAGGTCGCTGAGAACTTTAACGACCTCCTCAACGGCATTGTCCACGCTACCGTGGACTCCAGCTATCACATTCGCCTCAGACTTTATACAGAGCAATTCGACGTATTTGTGTCTGAGTATCGAGTAGGTAAACTTTCGCATGTCAAAGTCCGGCAAGGCCTCCAGTGGCTGAATGAACTCGAGAACATCGTCCCACTGCCCGTCGAGGATGAGCTGACGCAGGAAGAGGACGTCGTCGCTGTATTGTCCATTTATCACTCCTGTTTCCCGCTCCAAGGACAATTGGGAGATGTGTAGATCCCGACTGTGAAGGAATTCGAGTGTCAGCCGAACCACGTCTTCCTCGCGCAACGTCAGGTGCGCCGCCGGCATCACGTACCGAATACGCAATCTGAAAATCAAAAGTACTTTGAAACAAGGTTTCTCATCGAGAATCTTTAGGGTCTGCGAAAAAAAAGGTTATCAGTTTGACCCCGTGACAATTACGAAAAATTGTCTGAAAATGGTTGAAAGCCGGTTGAATGCGGGTACACGGGCTTGCGAAATAATTTCGCGGGGAATCCGCTGCTTTCAGCGCCGTAACGCTCTGCCGTAAGTTATTATCCTGAACTCATATTTCCGAGAACAGCTGACACATTGTTCTGCCGGTCAGCGACGCCGCTCAGTTGCTAATGGTAACTCGCCGATTTAGCCAGAATTCTGCGCCTAAATCTAAAGTCTAAGGGGGGTTCGGAGGCTTTCATGCTCTGCGAACATTGTCGAAGTGTTGAAGTAATCGTTGAAACAAAGGAAGATTGGAATTCCTGAATTAAATGGCGAATTGCTTCAACGTCACAAATCGCTCCAGCTGATGGGAATTGAGTGCATCGAGAACGATGGTCAAATTGCCTGGCATCGATTAACGGGAAGTCGCGATTCTTCAGAAACGCTCTTCTTTGGCTTTTACGACGCAAGATAGAAAATTGGTAACGAGAGCCATGCAAAAAGTGACAAAGACTGATCGATCTTTCGTAAAGACATCATTAGAGCAACTAGCAAAGTTAGCTGCTTCTCTGTCTCTCTTTTGATCTCAATTTACAACTTTACTTTGCGGAATTAGCCTGCCCTACATGGCAGATTTGCAACCCGCTGAAACGGAGGAATTTCAAGAGCAGGAATTTGGCGTCAGCACCTTGCTCAATCGGCGAAGAACAGAGCCTTTAAAGAAGCGCTGCCGGTGCCGATCAGTTTGATTCGAGCAGTTGCGTGGATCGCAAGACAATATGAAGTCGGACTCACGAATGCTGGTACGTTCAAATTGTATCGATCACTCGCTCAATCCTACATCGTGTTTCACATAAATTTTGACAATTTCTTCAACAGGCACAGCTTTTGACAGTGAGCTTTCTCATCCTGGTGGAAACGAGTGCCGATGTTCTCGTTCAACCCGGTTACCATCAACCTGGATTAAATCAAGGGCACCAACGCCGACAGGACTCGAGTCAATACTTGCCGCAGCAATATTTTCCACAGCAACAGCAACAGCAACAGCAACAGCAACAGCAATGGCAACGGCGGGACTCCTCGAATCCGTACCAGTCGCCGTACACGGCGGCAACGAATGCTGCAGACCAAAGGGTGTCAACGTCTTTGGTATCGCCATTTCTTTTACCACCTTACGTATCGCCATTCGGTGGTATCGGGCCCGCCGGAAGGATATTCTCGTTAGGACCGCTGGGCCTTCAAACACTGAGATTTGGCGCTTTAGGAGGATACGGGCTCCCCCTTCTCGGGAATCCACATTCACAGAGTCATTTGGTGAGTCTTCAGGACGATTTTAATCTCACGATCAGCTGGTCTCACGATCGGGATGCGAAATACCTCATGCACGCATATTCCATGGCGCGTTCGTTATTTTTCCAGGCAGCACGTTCTCAATTTCCAAGGTCAACCGACAGACAGCTCGAAGCCGGAGCTCTTGGGCATGAAAAGAGAAATGACACATTATCGTCAGCCCCTTGGAAAAATGATGATGTGGCCTCGAAGTCGTCCATGAAGCCTTTCAGCGAGAGTGAGCGGCGTCCCGCGTTTCCAATTTCCCAAGTGAACAATATAAATGGTAAGTCAAGTGCCCTGCTAGGACGACACATCCTAGGAAATAAAAAGAATCAAGGTTCTATCTATTTATGTATTTCCAGAGCGTACTACAGGCTGGAAAGGAAATGGGAAATCGGACCATCAAATAGTGGGCGGGTCGTTGCTCGATCCTTTGGGTTTGATTGAAAAAACGGAAAACGCGATCGAGAATTTTGGCGAGCACTTGTCCCCGACCTTTAACCCTATTGGAGTTATAGGTGGAAAGAACTCTCATTCGAATCTTCCTGCGCCACCCGCACCATATCTCTGGAGAGAAGCGGACAATTCGCAAATTCAGCAAACTCAGAACGCTCCACAGAACGTTCCTCTCGGATCGCCGGGCAACCCGAAAAGTCAAACGAAGCAAAGTCCTCTCTTAGGATCGAGAGCTAATTCTACGGATTCCCAGGCATCTACGCTACATCAAGAATCTTATCGTCCAACTTCTTATCAGAGCGTTCTTCGAGAGTCCAGTCCGTCCAATCCCGTGGGCTCTCCTGCAAGGCTTGATGGAGATCTGGGAGGAGAGAAGCAACGACATCGGGTAGATTCGTCCGCGTGGCCTTATCGTCAGAGAACTTTGGAAAATCCAACAACTTATCAGGTAAATTGCAACAACAAGATACTTCAGTTAAGACATTCGCGTCTAATACGTCGTTTTCCCGTACAGGATGGAAGTGCATGGAAAAACGGACAAGCTGCCCGGGGCTCGGATTCAGCGGGAGACAGGGCGAGTGCGTACAGGGGAAATCCGGTGACGGGGCAAAGTTCCACAAGCTATCCCAGCAACCCCATTGGCAGAACTCATCCGACAGCAGTGCGCTATTTCCAGCCCGACGCGGGCGCGGCCTCTCCGTTCTATGGGAATCCGAGCTACGGCTACAATAAGAACGCCAATGCGCAGGCAGTAAGTCCTAGTCGGACGGGACAGAATCGGCAGCTTGGTGGGACCCAGCAGAGAACGACAGCTGTCAATTATCCAGCCGAGTCGTCATATGGACCGAATAATGCGGAGATGGCTGCTAGTCGCAGGGAAAACATTCCTGCCCAGTACACGTCAGCGTCTCAGGGCAGAACAACTCCACTGTTTCAGGATTACGAGTATTCACGACCATTTTACGGTTACGGTAATAGTTTTCTTCCAGGAAGACTTGACAGATTTGGCTCAACTCTTTCTCCTCCATTCTCCCCACAAGCTTGGCTGCCACGACCTTATAATTTTTACAATGATCATGTATTCGATGATATTGCCGATTTCTCATATCGGTCGTATCGGCCAACATTTTAATTTATACGATTTCATGAAAATTATTTAAACGCAAGCTAATGCACCTTGACTTTACGAGTATTACGTCTTAATAAAAATAGCTATTTCTAAGAAGCACCTGCATGCGCTCATAAAAATATCAATTCCAGCCACTTTTAACAAAGTCATTTTCCCATTCACGATATAGTAGTGATTAGGTGTATTTTTACTCAAGAAGACTACTTATATTTCTATGTATTCGAAGGTGCAGAATAAAGAAGGAAAATTAAAGAGGATCTTTCTCTGAACTACTTACTTACTGCCTATCCCATTCAAAAATACGAGACGAAATTACTTTCGCAGTTCAATATTTTTTTTTAGAACTTTTGATTTTCGTCAATTTGTAACATCGAACATTCAATGAAACGGATTGACTGTGCTCTCTAACCTTGCACGATGTGGGATGCAACAAGCAAGACAGCAACGTTTTGGATAGTAATAGCATCGTAAAAAGAATAATGTACACGCATACAATGAGAATTTACAAACTGAAACTTTGATACGGACCGATATTGCATGCAAACGAACTATAACCAAATTTGTGAAATATAGGATGTTGCGTTTGGCAAGAAACAAAGAGTTGCAAAGATGTAGATTTCAGGATAGTTCAGCAGAGCACACTGATATTTTAATATTCACGAGTAATAAGGAGGGCCGCGTTTCTTGAGAGTGCATTCAAGAAAGGGCGCAATTAACGCCAGTAATGGATGTATTCAAGTTCCACTCTTGACCCAAGCAAAGAAGACAAGAATCACCAGCAGCGTTTGACCCCGTGTTTTCTCAGTCAGCGCATCATCGATAAGTCATAAGCCATAAGGATGGGAAGAAACGGGAGGCCTCAGAAAAGCTCTTCCGCTCATTTGAAAAATCGTCGTCTTAACTCCAGAATGAGTCTGACAGACGTATCCATGATAGGCATCGACATATCTAAATAAAGAAATGTAAGAGGCATTCTAGGCTTAAACGCAGGTTAAACCAACGCACCGGGAAACTAATAATAATAGAGAGAAAGCAGGTTGATGCGTGGGGTGTGTGTGTGTGTGTGTGTGTGTGTGTGTGTTTGTTAATATCCACGCGTGCCCGTGGATGATTCTTCAAGGACAGCACAGGACCCCGAGCAGAGCAGCCGCCGCCGCTTTTCGAACGAGAGAACATAAATAGGCAACTCGTACGGTCGGCGCACCGGATCGTTGTGTGCTCGATAGATCGTTTGCGCGTAGAAGGATCTTCTATAAGCGACGGGTGACTCGCTCGCACCGCAACCACAGCTAAAATCAGAACGAGAAGCAAAAGGAGAGCGGGTCAGGCGCGCAGGCTTCGTTTTGCGGAAACATTGAGGAAAGGAGAACTTGTGAGCGCCAGTCGAGTCGAACCGCTCGAATCTAATTCGAATCGAACGAAAGATCGATCGAGATTACTCCGCGCGCGATCAACTTTCCTTCAACGCGACAACGATGCTGCGATCTTGTTTTCTCAAACAATAAAGCTACAATAGCTTCAATCCTTTGAAAGTTGAGCTGCCAACATTTCTTGCTCTCTCTCTCTCTCTCCCTCTCTTACGAAAGCATTCGGCCGATCGAAAGTAGACTAAAGTAGCTAATAGGATACGGATACGATGGATACGATTAATACCGATTAATACGCTCAATACGAATGTATATGCTTACATGCGAGTAGAGACATGGGCGTTAACGTAGATAGCACATTCGCGATTCCGACAGGATGTCTCCATAAGATTATTCATGGTTGACGATATAGCTGAATATCGGTTAGAAAATTATAACAAAATTTCCCTTTCCTGGTTTTCCTATACACGTTCGTGCAAATACGGGAAATAATATTTTTCACCAGTCAAAGCCGATAACCGAGCGCGCTGCTTCGCATCCTCTAAGGATTAAAAAAGAAAGTCAATTGAAGGTGGGCGTGGACTCCTGGTGCATCATCGTTTTGGGTAAATAGTAGAAGCTCGTACTGCTTAGCGTGAACGATGGACGATCACCATTTACTGGAGGTAGCACATCAAACGCACGGGATATCTTCAGTGTCTCTTGGAAAGCACTAAATTGGCTAGTTCCGTATAGTATATATACATATACATATGAGTGTGTATACACTATAGTATAGTATAGTATAGTAACGGCTCTTCCTAACCAGCCTCATATAAGATTCCGTTGCGCCGACGAGACGTTTTCGTTGCGGCCGTCGCACATAGAAACACAGGAGGCTCTTGAGCCCGCAGTCACGCAAGCCAGCACGCGGCAGCAGAGACGACCGAACGAAATTCATTCCTACAGGGGAGAAGATAAATAGATGGGAAAGCGGAGGCCTCCAACTGGTCGCTCATTCCGGATGGAAGAGACTCTCACGAAGGACATCGCCATAACCCACCACGTAAAATAATCTCGTAGCAGCTTCGCGCACCGTAGGATAATTTCTCACTATCAAAGTAAAAGTCGAGGATACCGGTTCGCCGTGGCGTGACCTTTCCGTGAGCATGCAACCGGCGCATCCGCGCGGAACTTGAGTGGCATCAAGTTCGCGACTTGGGAAATTGAGGAAGAAGACAAGAAACATTTGAGATGAAATTCGATGGGTCGTTGGAATTTGTCATTTGTCGCGCGCGTGTAAACGCGACATGCAGCCCATCGAGGCTGCAACCCAAGGACACATTTCAAAGGTTCACCTTCTTCTCCGTCCATTAAGTCGACTGCACTCGAGCGAGAGGACTTTCGAGGGTTCTGCTGTCGTGTCACGATATAGCGGCGGCGGCAGAATGGACTTTCGCGCTTTTGCGAAGAAGAGAGTCGAGACTGGAGGATGATAATGCGAGTGAGCCCTTGGGCGCTCTAGCTTTGGGGCAACGTTCGTTCCGGGCTGACTCTCCGCTCTAATTGTGATTCGCAATTCCGTTCCTGAAGCTGCGCACCGATTCCTTCGCACAGAGTGTCCTTAATTCCGTTAATTCCGTTAATTCCGTCAATTCCTCGGATTGGCCATCGAAGGAAACGAATTGATTTCATACCTTCCTAGTGTATCCTTCGAATAGTCTTCAATGACAGGGAGGAGCGATGACGTGACGACCACCATCGTAAGTACCGTGTTCCATATCAAATACCGTCACGGGACTCGTTCTCAAGTTCCAAAGCGACACATCGTAGCGCACTGCACTGTTGCAAGCCCAATTACGCACGATTGGTACGGCTTCTAGCATAGCATAACGAATCAGCAAATCTTTCAAACGTGTATTCTCTTCCGTCCTGGCTCGACTGACTTTCATCAATTTGACGAATTTTTTTTAGAATCTCGTTAAACCAACTGATCGAAATAATACATTGCACTGAAGAACGAAGATTGACAATGACAATTTCACTAAACACATGCCCATTCGACAGAACGCACGAAAGTAGCTTTGCAAGCTTCCAGGGAAACAGATGAATCGTCTCCAAGAAAGATGAAAATTCAATGAAACTGAATGGGGCTCCGTGGGAGCATTTGAGCACTTCAGCATTTCAGCATTTCAGCATTTCAGCATTATAACCAGTGCAATGGGAAAAGTGAACCTCCAAAACTTGTGTACTTTCTGTGGAGTTCCTAATGAACTGTCTGCGCGCGCACCACTGTGGAAGACGAACGTCCGGCGTCCGACTGCGTCTGCTACACGCGGTACAGTAGCGGACGCGGAACGTTCACCTTAGTTTGCCTCCTTTAGTTTTACGCACGCGTGCTGCCACCTCCTCCAGTACGTCTCGCTCCTACGTATCTCTGCTGTGCGCGCCTAAGCGTGCTTTTCGAAGATGCTCCTCGCTCCTTCCCGTTCAGGTAGTAAGTAGGGCTATGCGCTATGCGCTATGCGCTATGCGCTATGCGCTATGCGCGCCTGCATTTCGCATCTCACTCTAATTTCATTCGCCTCGATAAAGAGTAGACGCACGCGGCACGTCGTGCACTTCGCTAGGAAGATCAAGTCTTCGAGAGCCTTGAACTTGAATCGACTAACCCACTTTCGAATTCCAAGCAATCCTCGAGTATGCATCCACAGCAGGCAGAGTGCTATATCTTTTTTCTTTTCCATTTGAACTTTTGTCCAATTGGCTCTCGACCATTGCCGCTAGTCGGTATTCTCGCTATCGGACGTCCCTGCACCGTGTTTTCACTACAGTGCCCTTCCTTGATACATAATACAGGCAAGTTCTGGATTATGATCAAGCGAGAGTGATACTCTGATCGATCCCTGTATACATATACAGGAGCATGATTAAAGTAAGGTAAGCAACCGTGTCGTTACCCTCGGCACAATGTGGATTGATTACATACTCGACTGCACGGAAGATTCTCACGATAAGGGCAACTTCTCCCGTCGAGCAGCCACTGACATTGCGCTATTTTGATAACGAAGCCAACGTTTCCCCCGTGCAAGACGTCTTGACTCTACATGCTTGATAAGTATCCAACGAAGGATACTTCCGTGCTGGCTATATATATATATATATGTATATCCCACATTGAGAAGGGATGCGCACGAGGTGTGCGAGTGTGTGACGAAATCTGCAAATCTCTTGTACTCTACTGTTGGGAGTGTGTGGAGTGTGCCACATGCCAACGACGTGAGACGTGGCACAACACGCCTCTGGAATCTTAATCAAATAAGCCACGCTTCTTGCCGGCACAATAATAATGGATCGCTGAAAGTTTTCGCATAATATTGAGTTCATATGTTGGATTAGAATGTTAAAATGCGAGAGACGTCCTTTATCGGGGAGACAAGTCAGACACAGGTATCAAGCAATACACGATTTTTGTGCTCAATATTATTTCTACAAACTAGAGATACCTGCCCTGCTGTAACAAGATAACTGTCACGAAGTTGTTGCCCGTCCGTAATTAACGTGCGGGAACCGGCCACTGGTACTTAATAAGCAACTCTTAGTTATATCACGGTCCCGCTTGACGTTAAGTAAATCTTAATTTATCTTTACCATATAATTTTTCTTTATGAAAAAGCCTTCTAATCCATTGACATTCAACATGACTCTACGCATTTTTTTAAAGAAAGATACGTTACGCTTAGCAAACTATTTAAAAGCAACGGGACTAATAGGGAACGGGAGACTCGGTAATTAAAATTAATCGAATTCTATATGTTCGCGATTGAGAACTGTTCGTTCTAGCGATCGTTACTCAAGGAATAGAAGAAAAAAACGAAATTAACCAGATTTCGAAAAATCAGTGTGGCATTCCGTAGATATGGCCTACTATTTTACGCAAATAACTATACTATGTTCTATCTATTCATTAAAGGTATTTTCACTAATAATGATTTATTCGACCTGTAATTTTAATTTTTTTTTATGTTCAAAAACAAAACAATTTCAATACCTGACGAATCGGCGTCTCATGTGAGTTTCGATCAGCAATCTTAGCGTCCAGCTAAAGAACCTAAAGCGCATCAATGGCTATTTCTCTTTTATCAATATTCCATTTATAGTTTGAAAGCAGCTTGTCAACGTGATTGTCAAACCACATGTGATTCACGTTACGCGAGTTCATGCAATTATAAATTATAACAACGGCAAATGCAGATGTTGAAATAAACGTTCGTCTAATGATAACCTACAAGCAGAGAGGCTATTTCTTTTCGCCACCTGCTGATATACCTAGCACGGATGCTCGAATACACCAACACCTTACGACCTATCACGGACACGGAACAGCATCCTCCTGTTTACAACGCGTGAGATGCGTCAGAACGTATATACTCTACACTTGCCGTCGCGTGTGCGCACGTGTCCAAATGCAGGAGGTTCCACGTGATATGGCTGTCACGAAATCACGATGAATGACATGGAATGAGACTCATGGAGACTCCCGCCTAGTCACAAATTCAAGAGTTTCGTGTAGTGTTGAAATTTTCATAAACGAGAGCTTACTATGTCGGTCCATGGAAGATTGACCGACATAGTGGATGATCATTATCTCTCACCCTACATTTTTTTATAATTTGAACAAGTTGCACGTTAAAATGCTACAGAACTTGTAACACAGGTATTATTAAAAGTGATGAGCAACGATGAGCAGCAACGGCTGCAATCAAAGAGAACAGCAAAAATCAAACGATATCGGAGCTACGAAAGAACCGTAACCTGAGACTCGATAAAACGACATTTCGGGAGTCTGATCCTCTTACTTGAAATTACACTATTCGAAAACCGGTTCGCAAGGGGATTGATTCACGACTAACGTTTAAAATAATCAAGAGGATGGCTTCAAAGATTATTGACCTGTACGTGGCGATATTGAGGTTAACTTTTGCACTAGGAACGTCTGGCTATTTGTATCAACGAATTCAACTATTCGTGAACAACATGAACAACAACATGACTAACGATGAAGAATCATGGGACCTATTCAATTATTCACTGTACATAGGAGCAGCAAGATCGTTCATTACTTTTTCATTTTGATTGATTATTTTGCGCCGCGTGGATCGAACTTTTTAGTCGTATACAATCGACGTTACATGGTTTCTCGCATTGGAAGTAACAGCTACAAGAGACTCTGACCTCGGGAATGAATATTTTGTTGGAGGATGAGCGAGCAATTAACTGCAATTCGCGTTAAAAATAAATAGCGAATTGACAGAAGGGTGTCTCAAAGATGCGTGGGAGACGACACGATTTCCTCTACATACTTTGTTAACTTGTTGAACCTGTTTCCCACCGAGGATGGTCTCGCGAGGCGTTACCGGCGGGTTTCGTTGATTAGAAATTACGTAACTTTTGTTGCACAACTTGTGAATAAAGGCTACTTACCGCTGATTAAGGCGAAAAACGTCAGGATCGCGCGCGCACACACACACGTTACACTGGACTGCTCCCCGCAAGCTGCCACAGACTACAGCACGGTGGCGCTGCAGGCGGCCCGCCATATTGGATCAATTCGTAAACGACTGAAAAGCGCGCTGACCAGCTTCTTTTAGTTGGAAACACTAGAAGGATTGCAATCGTTTGGATAAATAATAATTTGACGATGGGGTACAATTATTAATCTTTGCTCTCGTTTAATATCCACAAAATTGGAACACAGATCGTAACAAAGAGATATGGACCGACATAATTACATCCGCAACGTTTCGTTTGCATTCTGGCAAACGCATTCGTTTCACACGAAATCATATCGTTACGCTATAACTAGAATAAATAATGAACGATGCACGATGAGGCGCACCAGTTCTCTGGAAAAGTATAAAACGAATGAAATGCTGACATAGGAAATGCATAAATACAATTCATCTTATCGACAATGAGCATAATTATTTTATTAACAATTTTGATTTTATTATTACTCTTGGTTTAATTTTGTTTTTCATTTTTTTATACGACCACTGCAATATTTCAATTACCCACTCGCTTCATCCTCACGTTTATTAAATATATGTGTATGTAATAGGTATGCAAAGAATATGGTCGTATGAATAATAAATAATCTATTATTCCTTGAAGCAGTGCACTTGATTAAATTCATTTAATTTCAATAAGGATTCTAAGACACGATGTAAAATTTCATCATAGTTTCCTGGAAATATGTATAATACTTTTCCCTCCTTCCCACGCATATATTATCTCAAGATTAGACCAAGTGATGCATAAACTTTAAGATATCGCGAATTATTCAGATGCTTTTTTTTCATCAGTCGATGCTCGAGATTCAATTCCTTTGATGCCTTTCGGTCCTATTTTTCAGCTTTCTAAATTTACCTCTCTTGTGCCGATCAATGATATTGTTAATAAATGTCTGGTGTGATATTTAACAGTTTCGGCATTTGCACGGTCGTTTAATACATTACGATTTTTCACATAAGATGACACTTGATAAATCTGGACCTGACACCCAAGCAAATTAGAGATTGTTCATAGTGATGATTCCGATCTTCAACTATATTGAAGTGAGCTTGGCACACTATCAGTTTGGTGATACGAGATAGCGTTCGTTGCCTCCCGGTGAATTACATCGCGCAATCTATACGACGCTTAACCTCAATATTTTCAGAGTTGTGTGATTTGACGGCATAGAATGGTTTAGCACTTCGTCTTATAAAAGTCTGGATCTTTTCATTCGACTACTACAACTAAAGCGTGACATTTGGAATGCAGTAGAGTCGAATAGAATAAATGCAGATCGATACATGTCAGCACGCTAAGGAACTATTTTAAAGTTTGCTCCGTTTTTTCAACACTTTCACTATATTGTATACGTGTTCTTCGAGCATAATTTCCACAAAAGTTGACAAGTGGAAGATTAGAAGGTGTGCGCGTTACGGCAAATTCCGCAACCAAGTGCGAATTCCTCGCCTGTCTGTGGGTGTTTCACGTGCAAAGGACACTCATCGCCATCAAGCTGCTTCCCCTTCGGTCCTAAAACGCATATATGCAATATCTCGTCAAGGAATCTCGAGAGAAAGGCAAGATTTCTCTCTGATGTTTTTCATACCTGCAGGACAGGAAGGTAACTCGCTCTTTGGTATGTTAGTGACACGCTGAAAGTCATCGTGACAGGGAGTGCAGAAATGCGTGGTACCAAAACAGAAAAAGACTGCCACCGAGCAACAATATCGACACTTGTACTCGAGAAAGTCCGCTCCGTGTTTCGGGCACATCTGAGCCCTTGCCACGTCACTGCAGCCACCGCAGACCAATTCCGTGGGATCGAAAGATTCGCCTCCTAGTTGAGCGTCGCATCTTGCCTCGCCGCCGTAATAGGCCTTCTGACACTTGTAACACACGTAGTAGGCGTACCGATCCATGGCGTACGTGGCTGGATCCTGATGATATCGACCGCCGGGAGCAGTCACGGCTTCGGCTCTGAAATACGAACACGCGTATCGTAGATCAATTAGATCGAGTTACAATTATCGTAAGGCTAGATACAAGTTTACGAGGAAGCGTCGTACTTATGTAGGCCTTCGTATTCCAGTCTCATGAGGGCCTTCCGTCGAACGTCTTCGTAAAGGTCCTTCACACTGGCCAGCTGTTCTGTTAATGCTGGATGGTCCATGGACAGTTTACAAATTGGACATAGAGAGAATCCGAAGGTTATTCGCGGTCCTACCCATCTTTTGAGAAGGACGTTCCTGCAGCAATGAAGATGAAAAACATGTCCACACTGAAGCTGAATTGCCGGAGCGCATGAGAGCGCTTCCGTAAAACAAATCATACACATGTCATCGGCGTCTTGCTTCAATTCGCTTCCAGGCAAACACCTGTGAAGGCAGGGCAGACAGGGACGCTCGTTGACGACTCCGCCGCATATGTGTCCACAGGGGTGGACCTTGTTACAGGCGTTTTTCGCGTGTTCTTGACAATCATGATCGGCGCATATGTTCCCTATCGCCAACAATCCGGTGTTGCCAGTCGTGCCGCAAAAACGGCAGACGCCAGAAGTAGCCCCAGCCGGTTTACGTGGTGAGCCATCACGAAATTCTACGAGGGCCTTTAAAGTTCGACTGTCTGCTAGAGCCAGGATCCAGAACAGTTTCGTTCTGCCACAGCCTTCGTGAAGATCCACGCGAATTGCTTCCTCCTCCTCTTTGCATACTTGTCTCACGTGCATTCTCGTTCTCCTATGAAGATGCAGCACTCTGTCGCAGTCCGCGCAAAGATTTCCGCAGACGTTACATTGGATGATCGCAGTGGTTTCGCCGTCATCGTGATTACAGCAGGTCGGCTGAAAGGAGAAATTTCAGATTCAGCAGTTAGGAGCATCCAATGTGACCGGTGGCGGACCATAAGGAAGTGGCAAGGGAGAATGTATGTATTTTTGCGCTTCGCAGTAACTCACCCTAGGAGGAGGTGGTTGTCCGTCAGCGGCACTCCACTGACCCGACGAAAGTCTCTCGACGTGTTCTGAATCTAAAACGCAGAGAGACGAGAGAGCCAGCCAAAGCGTAGGAGTGTGAAGACACTCGCCAGGATCTCGACTTTTCTCTTCCAGCCTGGTCAAGTTTAGGATGTTCTCTGCTATTGCGGCTTTGGTCACAGCTGCCCATGCTTCGGACAACTTACCCTTAAGCGAGACAAAGGCATTTCAAAAGAAATTCAAAAGAAAATCAAAAGAAAAGAAGAACAAGCAATGTAGATCAATGTAGATATCAATGTAGATCAATGTAGATCAATGTAGATCAATGTAGAAGAGCGTACAAGAGAAATCCTACTACGTCGTCTTCTATATTCGAACGTTAAATACAAACACTTACCGCAGCCATGTCCTTCAGTAGTTGAATTATAACTTCAGCTAGTTTCCGCGTCATGCAACCTCGTAACCACCACCTCGTCCCAACAAAACTCTTCGGATGTATACTCGTCGCAAGGGAAACAGTTTGCAGCGCCTTCCCGTTGCTCTCCTTTCCTTTAACCTTCACCTGGACAGTTAAGGTCTTAGCGATACAGCTCAGGAAAACATCGAGTATTCCGGAGGAGTGCTCGTTAAATTCAGGGCTCTGAGTATAGCCGTTGTTAGCGACGGAGACTATGCTGAAATCCGAAGGTGGAAGCCGATCGACGCTAACGACACTGGCTAATGTCTCGGGTTTTATTTCCGGCAGTATTCTCCTAAGCAGCGACGTCACTTGGCGCTGGACTCTCGCCGATCCTGTGTGCAACAAACTGAGCAGGTCTTTCAGCAGTCCGTACTGATGGGAGAGGTAGTTCCTGCCGACGGAGCTACCGCTCAGAGCCAGCACCATCGAGAGCATCTCGAAGCAATAGGTGTCGGCGGCCTTTGGCAAATCGCTGCCGTCGCTGAGGAGACTATTGACAGGGGTAGGGGAGCAGAGCAACGTCTCCCACTCTTCTCTGAGACGGATCGCTTCCTTCCGGATGGCCTGGACGATGTGCGCGCACACTTGTTTTTGCAAATGAGTTAATTTACTTCTGCTAAAGAGAATGCCAACCATGTGCTCGCGTAGGTCGTTACTGTCGTCAAGATCCTCGTTGCTGATCTCCGCGACTTCCATAGTCTGTTGCTGTTCGCCTTGTATAAGCTTTCCGAAGACTTGAGACGTGATCAGCCGAAAGACTTTCAGGGTCTCGGCTTCGCAATTCTTCTGCTGAATCATGAGGGAACTGTTTTGTTTGCTCAGCCTCAGGGATTCACCCTCGATCTCCCCCAAGACACGTATCTGTCGAACGCGAAGCGAATTATCCGGACCTTTAAGTTCAAGAGCCAGGATCACGTGACGCGAATCCGTGATTGGACAGTTAATCCAGCCAGCCGATCGGCTTTCAATCTCAACGCTCCTCAGTTTTATCATCTCGTCGGCATTGACGCCCGAGTGGAATGACACGCTTGAGACTTTGTGGGTCAAATCCCGACAGTTGTCGATATGAATGTAGATCATTCGGGGAAAGGAGTGAGCGCCGCATACGATTGTTATTATCTTCGTCTTATTTCTGTCCTCGTCCCCGGATTCCCAGAATGTTTCCGTAGAATTATCGGTAAGGCTGCCAATCATGGCTTGTCTGCTGGAGGCCTTGATCTCGACGCCTGTTGTCAGGTCCTTTAGGATCTCGACGCAGCAACCACTCATCTGCTGGGAGAGCGTCGACTGATGACTTTCGTGCATGCTTACAGTGATGTCCTCTTCCTCTTCGGAACGGGACAGGATTTTACTGATGTTGCTGAATACGTGGCTTCTGTGCAGGAACATATGATCGGCCGGTGTGAACCTTATGCCCCAACAGCGCACCGCCTCTTGCTGCAGCGGTGATCCTGCCGGTAGTAAGAGCATCAGGTCGGCGATTGTTTGTAAGAGAGTGTGAAAGGCTGTTGGCAGAGGATTGGCTGCCTCCCCTGCGATCACCAGGTCACTCAGCGGGTGTTCGCAGACGCCGATCGTCTCGTGATCCTCCTTGCGCTCAATTCTGTTGTCCTCCTCGTTGACATCGGGCGTGTCGGGAAAGGCTGGCGTCAACGAAGCTACGAACCACCACAATAAATCATGAAGGCAAATCGATTGGGTGACACTCCTAAGTAGCCAATTGAGTGCCTGCATGGCGTAAACACGACAGGCGGCCCTCCTGAGGGCCTGCTTCATCGCCAATTGAAGATGCTGAAGATTGTGCTGCTGAAGCACGAACAGCATCACTGGCCTCATCAAAATCTCTATTCTGTCGTTGTTCGCAATTTCAGCCTGACTCTTTGAGACTATCGCCGATTGGTCCATCGAGGGAACAAGCTTCTGCAGCGCGGCGGACGGATAGCAGAGAAGAGAGGAACCAGTCTCGTTGCTCATTTCGCTGCTACTGTTGTTCCTCTTCCGCATCATGACGACCCTGCCGTCGTTACTGTTCCGTGCCCATGGCGCTCCTGTCGACATCGATACTGATCTGTGGAAGATTCCTCGCCCTTTTCCGCTCTCGCTATCGCTGTCGCTCATAGGACATTCGGAAAGTGGCCTTCCGTTTGGGGTTCCGAAAGTACAATTTCCTTCGTACAGATTCTGCTGGGCATTCTGACGTCTCAGATTTTCCTCGTAGTATCTCTCATCGTGACTTTGCGAGTTGTGAATCCCGAGAGCTCGAAGACACTGAAACGGTCCTGGCGGAGGAAACGGTCCAGCTGTTTCCGGCGGGCTATAATTCTCTGCTACCGATGTCAACGTCTGAGAAGGTCTTCTCTGTTGCTTTGGAATATTTACGCCGGATGCACTTGCCAGATCCAGTAGGAACATTGCATTATTCTTCATGATTATATGGGTCTCGTTACCACAAGGACTATTTATCGGTGATAAGGTCTTGTTAGTCGCGCCCTTACGCCTAGAGATACCACCGCTCAGGAGCTTCTTGCCCAACTTATTCTTTCTTGTTTTGAGATACTTGTTACGGCACGTGTCGCAAATCAGGTACCAGGAACTTCCGCCGACACCGCCGTCTCCGCAATTACCTGCCCAGCCGACGCAGTAATTGCCGCCGCTGTTGTAACCTTTACCACCAGCATGCCAACCGCAGCCAGGGTGCATCATTTTCATATGATAGGTCACTGGATGGGGAAACATGAGACCGCACAATTCGCAAGTAGTTTCCAGCTCTATACCTCCTAAAGCTTCGACCGTTCCTCGTCCCGCAGGCTTCCATTCCTTTTTCTTCCTACTACTTGTTTTTCTCTCGCGGTCCTTCAGCTTTTCCTCTCTCGGACATTTTTCGGACCCACCTGCACTTACTCCAGCATTCACAGCTGCACTTCGTTTCATCAGCTTCATCGTTTGCAACTGGGAAATTGGACTTGGCAGTACCGTTTGTTGTTCCACGGCTTGCAAGCAACTCGTGCTCAATTCTTCCCAGAGGAAGACCAGACTCTTCAGAGCTGGCGGCAGAATGGCGACGGTGTGGAATTCCGGAAGAGACGTCAGTTTGCCGCTAGTTGGTTGGACTTCCTCCTTTATTGGAATCTCTTGCTTCTTTCTGCTACGATTTGCATTGGCATTCGCTGCGGATCGCGTCAGAGTCTCCAGTGTGCTCGGCTGAATGTGGAGGTAGTTCCCGGCGTTACTCACCTCAACCGAGTGTCTCTGACGGGCCTTCTGCTCCTTTGTCAATTCCTCTTTGTGCTTCTCAGCGCTCTGAACGAGGGCTTGCCTTGTCACGACGAGAGCACCTTGCTTCGGGAGGCTCGGGTGGAATTTGAGGAAGCTCGCGCAGGCCATCGCGTCATGAACGATTCCTTCATGCCAAAGGAACGCGGCGAAAACAGCTCTGAGACACTCGGCAACCGAAGGGCTTATCGCTTCTTTGACCTTCTCTTTACTGAGATTAAGGGCTCTACTCGTATTCGGTGACTGATGGCTATTTGCCGGAGACATCGCCCGTTTTGAACGCGTTTTCACTCCCTTCCCGTGGTCTCTGCGTGTTAATTTGGGCGAGTGACGTTCCTCCCTCAGTCCGGACGAACCGATGCTAAAGTGTCCTTTCATCGCAGTGGCGACACTTTCTGGACTGGTTTGAGTTTGCGCCTGAGACACCTTCCGTGGGCTGTCCTCTGAATTCTGTAAAACGTCAAATGTTTCTACTTTAGTATCTGATCGAGGATCAAGCTCTCGGGATTTTAAATTAACGAACGCACCACGCGATCCTTCTTCGGCGTAGCCGGTGGACTGGCTATGCTGCCCTCGGAGCGCATGTGCAGCGAACTGCAACTGGGACTCGGTGAAAGATCCCGCGTATTAGCTGTCGTACTGATCCCACTCGGAGACTGAGACGGGTCTCTCGTGAGGCTGCTTACCAAAGCGCTGGTGTCGCTCTGGGTAGACCCGCGACGGTGAGAAGTCATGCTGTCGACCATCCCGCCCGAAACTTAAAAAAATAGCACGGCAAGCATTAAATTAGTTGAAACTTAAGAACCGTTCAGTGCTCTTACGTACTACGTATATGTATTGTGGAAATGATATCGCTATACTCTCTTGTGTGCATATGAGGTATTTCGACATTACCAAACTATACTATAGTTTGATAGTATTCTCATTTAGTTGTACACTTTGACGTATCACACACACACACACACACACACAGAGTAGTTGGAATCGGCTTTTGCAAACACTGACACGTCGAAAGATGTCTATGATCAATACCATTGTTTCTCTTGAACAACAAAGCAAGCAAACAGATGGACGAGCACTAGCTAAGAACGGGGGGAGCGAGTAATTGATTAATGGCAACTGGCTACAACCTGGATCCAGCCAGCGACCAAATCGTTAGCACTATGTAGTCGCAATGCATATTCTACCTATTATTCGATCTAATATTCGATCTGAAAGATCCATAGGATCCATTAAGCTATCGTCGATTCTGACAGAGCTCCCCGTCAGAGCTCTTCGTTTCTCCACCTCAACTGTCAGGTCATAACGGCTCGTCGATTCTCGGTGAAAAAAGAACTGGTTTTACGTTATCGGTGTCGAGTAAAGAAAATACGTTACGCCGTTTAGAGGTGATGGTCCCAACCGAGTATTATACCTGATAGGTCAAGCAAATAACCGTGAAAGTTTATTGCGGGTAATTCTTTTCCTGTGAGGATGCTTCTGTTATCGTAATTATTGAATACGTACCAGGTATGGGGACCGGACTAGAGGACCGGCTGTGAATTCGTGGAGACCCACCTTGGGTGTTTTTCGGAGAGGAACTTCTGGACATTCTTCTTGGCGTTTCCGGTGGCGTGGTCCCATTTCCGTTGGCGCGACTCTCTCCGATCGCCTTAACCAATTCCTTAACGGACACGCCGACGAATTCGGAAAAATCTCTGTGGGAAACCATGTTCATGCTTGGACTTGACACTTGACAAGTAGGAGAATTCGGAATCCAATGAATTGTTGGTGCTTACCGCCCCGGAGAGCTTTTCTTTTCTCCATGAGGCTTATCGTCACCACGTAGCCACTTCTGAAGTGCGCTAAATTTTCCACCACCTTCGCGCTCTCGCTCCTTTGTCGTAGCTTTTTCCTTAGGATGTGCTTTTGTAAACTTAGGCGAGACATCGTTTTTCTCTAGCGTAAATTTGTCGCTACCTGTGAGCCAAGGAAGCAAAAGAGTAACATGTGGTTTACCGCATTAACTTCGGGTCTGAACGTGAATAGGATTCAGGATTATATTTCAGAAGATAAATGGTTATCGAACATGTCGATAAGTACCTGGTGAATCGTGCTGACTGTAGGATCCGAATATAAAGGGGTTCGTATTGGCACCCTCCGCAGACATAGCTGTGGTCGGACTAAAGTTCTGTGCAGTGAAATTGAAACCATCATGATGACTTCCAGAAGGGGCAGAAAAGTCGAAGCCCTTGTGACCCGGGGAAACGGTCGAGAGTTCCGGTACCACAGGTTTTTTCTCGACCAGATGGTTTTCGAGTCCTGATTCTAGCTTCATGTAAGCCACTCCGTGTCTGTTGATGGCCAGCGACCAGGCCTCGCCCTCCGTGTCGAAGCAATATTTGCTCGCGAAGTCCTCGTCGATGCGCACCCAGGTTCCTTCATTGTTTACGAACTGCAAGTATCCATGGGTAAGTTCCCTAAGTTCCCTAAGTTCCCTTCAGCCGCGCACTGCATTCTCCCTATTATGGTCAACAGTCGACACTCCTACGACATGCTCCTACGATATCACTCACGTATTCTTGGATGGTCACGGTATTGCCAAGAGCAAGCATTCCAACTGGCGCAGCTTTCAGGCTTGGTCTACTCCTAATGTTGTGCCCCGACGCTCCGCACTTTACTACCACCATGCTCCGGCCACCTTCGAACGTCACGGTTTTTCTCTTACTGAAAGAAAACGGGGAGGCACTTGTCGTCAAATGGCCAATCAAAAAATCGTTCTTCAATAGAAGCTTACTCTTCGTTGACATCCGTTCGCTTGCGCATCATCGTCTCCTTGATTACTTTATCCAATATCGACTTGGGTTCCTCTACCGGTAACAGTAATGTTTTGCCCAAGTGTTGGTTGTACTGGAGACACCAGGCTTCGAGATGACCGCTGTTGCAGTACTCCTTTATGGTGTCTGCGTTAAGGCGCAACCACACTCCGTCGTCGTTATGAATCTGCAAAGAAGGTACAGTCGTATAAACATAAAGTTCCAAAAGTGCCCACTAAGTTTCGCAAAACTACAGGGCAACGAGGCAACTATCTTGTGGCCCGAGTAAAGAAACTATTTTATTAAATTATGACGAATTATTGATCTAGAATTATGATCAAAACCAACATCACTGTCATGAGACTGCCTAGGTGCCAGAATTATGCCATATACTATATATGCCCCAGCCTCATGATAATGATGTTAACCGTGATCATAAATCTATATCAAAAATTGATCATACTTGTATCTATTATCGTTTTATTCAAAAGGATAGACATAATCCAGATGTATAGAATTTTCTCATGGTGACAATTTACCTCATCGATGAAAGCGATGGTGCCATTGACTGACACAATTCCGATCTGCTCGCTCTGAAGCGAAGGATGAGCTCTGATTCGTAATCCAGCGCTGTTTTTTGCGACGAACTTTCGTAATCGGCTAGGCTGCTGCTGAGGTTTCTTAACGATATTTTGTATCGGTGGCTGCATTCCCTGCGGTGGTTCCTTTACTTCAACCTTATAATTCTGTAAATAAATTATTCATCAGTTCTTAGTTCTTTACTCTTACGACTATGACACGTCGCACGTTAACAAAAGTAGAGAGTAACCGAATAGAGATTCGGAATCACTTACATCGTCCATGCTGTACCCATCAACCGTGATCAGCATAGAGTACCATCCAACAGAAGCCGGGGTCCAAGTAGCGCTATAGCTGCCATCCCCGTTTGGCCTTACTAGCATACTCTCGCTAGATCTTCTGACAGCCGGTGAGTTGAACCTGAGTTCCTCGAAGGAATAATTCTGATAAGCCTTCATGATTGTTATTGCGTAGAAGCACAATTTATTATTGATGGTGACTTCGTAAGGAACGTCCAAGGATGGCTGAGGATGCCCTCCGAATGTCATAGGATCCGGTTGTGAGATTCGGCGCATTTTTCGGGCCTGATCCGACTCCGATATGTCCTTCTTGTCTATTGGCACGGCCTTCACCTCGATCTGACAACATGAAGGATGCTGTGCAGTTGCAGGTCAATAAGTGTGGTATGTACGCTCGCGCGTAAATGGAGAGCGGAGAATAAGCACGACGGGGTAAGTAGGAAAATAATAAAAATTCTAGATGGAGTCTACCTTCAAACCGGGGACCTGTACAACTTCTCCGTACTGGTCTCTCGTTAGAACAGTGACAATCGCCGGCCATCCGCATTTGATCTCGTCCCGAGAGTAGAGGGCCTCGCATTTTGCAGGATCCACAAAGCTGTCCGGCTGCAGCCATCGGGCCAAACGTCCCCCGCTCGTTCCGGCCGAGCAGGACACGAAGTCACGGAGGAAGAGTCGCTCGTTCGAATGGCAACTGAAATTACCAAAGAACCACTCAACATTTCGAAATTTCGCAACAGATGTATTGTCATTTTATGACTCTGCAATTCTCTTTCGTCCGCATTTCTCAAGATTTATCCAAATTCATTAAGTATAATGATCAGGTTTCTACGGGTCAGGGCTAAAGCGGTGTTAGCTGTTAAAACGATTGACTAGCGCGTTCCTTTAAGTTTTACCAATTAGTCACTCCGTGACTATACGTAAACGTTAACGCGCGCTGGAATCAAGGTCCACGCGATTACGAACAGACTGTGTGTGGC